TAGATGGAAGTCGACCAAAATATCCTCCCGATAAAAAAAGACACAAAACATGATTAGAAATTTATTTATTCATCACTTCAATATACCCTTCCCTTCAATATTATCCCAGCCGCAAGGAGTGTTTAATTCTTGCTCGCGCGGATCTATACACCCACCAAAAAAGTAAAAAAAACAACAAAAATAATAATAATGATAATAATAAAATAATAATAATAATAATAGAATAGTAATAATAATAAAAAGTAATAATAATGATAATAGAATAGTAATGATAATAAAAACAGTAATAATAATGATAATAATCATAAAATAGTAATAATAATAATAATAAAATAGTAATAATAATGATAATAAAATAATAATAATAATAATGATAATGATAATAATTATAAATATCAAAAGAAAACTTATTCGTCATTTAGCTAATCATGACTTCAGTGTATTCTTCCCTTCAATATTACCTCTAGGAATATATTCTACCACGGGCAGATCACGATTTAGGAGAGGGGGGGGGGGCGATAAAAAGAAACGGTGTGCGTGAGGAACAGCGCGCTTTGGAAACTGTCATGCGTCTCGGCTTGGGCGTGTTCGCTCGGCCAAACGGCAGTCTTACTTTGCGGAACTTGATATGCTTGGTTGAGAGAGAGAGAAAGAGAAGGGGGGGGGGAGAAAGAAGGAGAGGGGGGAAGGGAGAGAGAGAGAAAGAGAGGGAGGAGGGGAGACAGAGAGAGAGAAAGAGGGGGGGAGAAGGGGAGAGAGAGAAAGAGAGGAGGGGGGGAAGGAAAAGAGAGACGGGGAGGGGGGGAAAGGGAGAGAGAGAGAGAGAGAAAAAAGAGGGGAGAAAGTGAGAGAGAGAGGTGGGGGGAGAAAGGAAAAGAGAGAGAGAGGGGGGGGGGCGATTGACTATCGTTTAGCATGTTAGGTATTTGATTGTTATACAATATTTTATTAATAACTATCTTTTAAATTTGTTAGACATTGAATTATATATTGTATTATTGTATAGCGTTTAGCTTGTTGGGGTTTAAATTATTATACGTTTTTACATTATTGAATGGCGCTAGGTAATAATTATTATATATTATTGTATTATTAAATATCGTATAAGCTTAGCTAATATGTAATTATACATTATAATACTAAATATCCTTTAACTTGTTAGGTATTAGCGGTTTTGCTTTTGTAGGTGTTTTTGAATGTTTAACTTGTTTGGAATTAGCAATACCGGTTTTAATGTTATATGTATATACATATATATATATATATATATATATATATATATATATATATATATTGTCGTGTGTTGTGTGGTTATCATTGTTAGCATCGTTGTTTTTCATCTTTGTTTATCATTACCAAAGCTGATTGTTTGTTACGCGAGTCTCATTGTCTTTTTTATTGGTAATTTTAAATAATTGCCTTCGTTAATACAAATTTCATCGTCACTCTTCTGTATACTCTCCGGTGCGAAAGTTTACGTTATCGAAACAACAGCTTAGTGTTTACTTTTTCACTCTAACGGGCAGTGGCGCTGTCATGATGTTTAATATTCCGTGTTTATAATGCAGTAAGGTTGATGTCAGGGACTGGCATGTTCTGAAACAAGTGCAACATCAACACAGACTATGTGTATTTTCTTTCCAGGTTGAAATTATGAACGGTCGTCTTGACCAACGTAAAATCATTGACTCGATATGTTTGTAGTATCAAGGCCACACTTAGACGAGGGAGGGAGGGGGGGGGGTGAAAGAACTAAGGGAGTGGGGAAGGTGGAAGGGGGAAGGGGGGAGGGGGGCTGGATCGATCGCTATTCCTAGATACACACACGTACACACACACACACACAGACACACACGCGCATTCCGAACAGTTCTTGGAATTTCAGCGGCGGTTGTCAACAGAGAGAGCGCTTGTTATTGATAATTCTGCTAAACGGAACAAAAGAAACAGAGAATGATGATAATGAATGATTAGAAAATAATGGTAATTGTATTAAGGATAATGATGTATTAATAATGATAATAATGAATTGATTGTTTTCGAATTCGCCAATTCTGATAAACGGAAGACGAGAAGTAATTAATGATAATAATATTGAATAATAGAAATAATAATAATAATAGATAATAGTGATAATGACGAATGATAATGATAATAATAAATTGTTCGGGATAGTCAAACAGCGAGATACAGTGAATCAGCTACGTATTGAGCATTGAAAAAGCGAAATAAAATGAGTCAGAATTCACTCTTTAAGAATACGAGGCAATAGAGTCTACGTGGAGACGACAATGAGTTCGAACGATAGATTAAACAAAGACAAAAGAGAGTAAAGAAAGGAGCTGAAGAGGAGAGGCGATAACTCGGTTCACGCGCAGAGCAACTTCGGAGCTGTGAATGAATAAATTGTACGTCACGTTATACAATGCAGTGAGTCACGTGTGGCGTCTTCCTTGATGTTTTTTTTTTTTTTTTTAAGGAGGAGGAGTGGGGTGAGGAGGAGAAGGAGGAGGAGGAGGAAGAGAAGAAAAAGTAGGGGGATGAGGAAGAGAATAAGGAGGAGGAGTGGGGTGAGGAGGGGAAGGAGAGATAGAAGGAGGAGGAGGAGGAAGAAGAGAAGGAAAAGGAGGGGGATGAGGAAGAGAAGAATAAGAAATAAGAGGAGGAGGAGGAGGGGATGAAGAGGGGGAAGAAGTCAGGGTATGCAGAGAGCCTGATGTGTGGGATTTTGAATGTAGTCGTTATTGGAGTGGGAAAGTGTGCTAGGATACACATGCACGCACACACACACACGCACACGCATACGCGCACACACACGCGCGCGCGCGCAACATATAATTCTGTCGCTAACCTTCCTTTTTCCCATCCTACACTTAAACTCTTCCATGACCGTCACTTAAGTGTATCCTTGTCACTGTCTGTTTCTCCTTGTCATATCCTGTCTGTCATGGTGGTGCCTCCCTAAACGTCTCTACAAGTTACTCCTTGTTATGTAGGAGTCTCAAGCGTATCTTTCTTGGCGACATATTTTCGAGACAAGTATTTGAAGCATATCTCTCGCTCTGTGATATATTTCCACGACAGGTATTCCCAGCATTGCTCTCGCTTTTGTGATATATTTCCGAGACATATTGCTAGCATATCATTCGCTTTGTGATTTCTGAGACCTATTTCAAACATATCATACTTGGTGATATATTTCTGAAACATATTCCAAGCATATCTCTCGTTTTGTGATATATTTCGGAGACCTATTTCAAACATATCTTTCTTGGTGATATATTTCTGAGACATATTCCAAGCATATTTCTCGTTTTGTGATATATTTCCAAGGTAGGTATTACAAGTCTATCTCTCGCTTTGTGATATAGATCCGAGATATATTTCAAACATGTCTCTCGATTTTATGATATATATCCAAGACAGATGTATTGTTTGCGGTGTCTTGTCATATGCATCGGATCTGAGAGAGGAAAAAAAAACTTATTGTTGTACTGTTGTTTACGTGTGATGGAAATCAGGAGACCTCTGTTCATCGTCTTTTGAGAGTAAAGGATGACGCTAATGGTTTAACAATAGTTCATTCGGCTTAAGTACATTCCAATTATCCTTTGATAAGTCCTTGTTGTAACTGAACACTGTGCGCGCATACACACTCTCTCTCTCTCTCTCTCTGTCTCTCTCTCTGTATATATATATATATATATATATATATATATATATATATATATATATATATACATATACATATACTGTATGTATGCATGCATGTGTATCTATATAAATGATATACCCTACGTGAACTTGGGCCTGTATCTGTATATATATGTCTATGTATATGTGTCTCTAAAAAGACGTGCTTCTGCGTGTATATATATTAAACACACACACATATTCTGACACCCTGTAACCATGAGGAGGCGGTGAAGGCAGTCCCCCACGGTTCCCGCGTTGAAACAAAAACTCAAGGGCACTTTGCGAGGCGCGTTGACATCCGTGCAAGAGCGCTTGCAACACTCTGCTTATCCATGCTCGAAACTAAAACGTGTGGAGAGCAAGTTAGTGTGTGAATGATGTTTTTTTTTTTATTATGTTTTCTTTATTCTTTTGTTATATAGATATGAGATGAGGGGTATGTGTGTACTTGTGTGTTTGTGTCTGTGGTTTGTATCAGAGGATGGGTATGTGGGTAGTGTCAGTTCGACTAGGGTATTAGCACGCAGTGGCCGTTGGGTCATAGATATTTTCATCGCTTGGTATCACAGCTGGTTCTGGTGTACTGTGGGTGCTTGTGATATGGTAACAGTGCACGCACGGATGGATGTGCGGGGCGAAACGAACGAACGCACATATTCGTTGTCTATACGCACTGTTGCACATGCGCGCGCGTATACATGCACGCATACACAACACACACACATACACACAACACACATACACACAACACACATACACAGAACACATATACACACAACACACACACAACACACACACATACACATACATACACATACACATACACATACACATACACATACACACACATACTCACAACATACACAACACACACACACACACACGCACATACACACGCGCGCGCTCTTTAGTACAGACACAGTACTTAACCCAAATAACCCTCTCTCGCCCCGATGAATGAATCACATTCACGGCAGCGCATGGAATGAGAACGTTGCGACAGGCGAGGAAATCTAGCCCCTGGAATGTGCGTGACAGACAAATGTTTGTGTGGCGTGTCGGGGAGTGGGCGGGTCCGTCCGGCCGCGCGCCTCTGCCGTAAGGACGGTCGTAGGAAATATATATATGTAAACTTGACGGGTATTTTTCCACGCTGTTGTTTTCTGTCGAGGGTTGTTAAGTGTTGGGTTTTTGGGGTCGTTCTCTCTGTCGGTGGAGTACTAGATGGCAGGATCGTTGTGGGTAGAGATTGAGGGAAAGCTGTAGGGGTCTGGATGTGAGGGAAACGAGAGAGAAACGAGAAATGATGAATGAGGATGAATAAAGATAGAAGAAAAGGTACGTACGTATCCGTATGTACATACATACATGAATACATACATATAACATAAACAGATACATGTCAAATATGCACGTATGTATATTAGTTTGAGTGCTCATGTTTGCACCGTGATTTAAGACTTTTTCTTACATTTCCCTCACCATCTTTCACTTATAAATCATCCTGGAACATAAAAGCAACCATAGCGTATTCTTACGACCTGAAGGAAAAGGCATCATCTTGGCCAGGCTGTATAATACATTGGTTTAGGCTCGTGTCCCATAGTTCCCCCGGCCATAACGATTTTGCTCCCCCCCCCTCTCTCTCTCTCCCTCTCTCTCTCTCTCTCTCTCTCTCTCTCTCTCTCTCTCTCTCTCCCTCTCTCTCTCTCCCTCTCTCTCTCTCTCTCTCTCCCTCTGTTCTTCCTCCTCCGCCTCCATTACACCTGCAAATCTAATCAGAAAGCCGTGGGGGGGGGGGGGGGGGCGTCTCCATTAACACTTCGGACTCTCCGCCCTGCAGTTTCCACGTCGTGGTAGCGTCATAAAGAAAAGAAAATGGAGGAAAAGAAAAGAAAAAAGAAGAACTACAAAAGGCGTGACGGCACTCTCGTTAAAGGATGTAGCAGTCGGATCTCCTTGGGAAAGGCATTCAGGCTCGTCCTACTTCCGGGGGAGGGGAGGGGGAGGAGAGGGGAGATGGGGAAATATGGGGAGGGGGGGGGTCGAGGGGATGTGGGGAAGGCAAGTGGAAGGAATGGAAGGTGGGGAAGGCGGGGGGGGAGGGGGTCGAGGGGAGGTAAGGAAGGCAAGTGGAAGGAAAGGGAGGTGGAAAAGGTGGGGGAATCGAGGGGAGGTGGAAGAAGGGAAGGAAAAGGGAGGTGGGGAATAGAAGTGGAAAGGGGAAGGGAAGGGAAGTCGAGGAAGGGAGGTGGAAATAGGGAAGGAAAGGGAAGGTGGATAAGGGAAGAGGGGAAATGGGGAAAATACCGAAGTAGGGGGAGGAGGAGGAGGAATAGGAAGAAAGGGAATCCCACTCACCGACACCCTACCCACTACACCTCCCACGCTACACCCTAGAATCCACGCCATAAGCTCCTTACACCTTGACGTACACACCCGACCATAGAATAACGATACGCACATTCGGTAATCACGCCCTCAAGGTTGATGCGTCGCCATTATGTCGGTCCAGCGATTTCAAGCGAAGTGTAGAGGAATGGGCGTGGTGGAGAGAGAGGTAGATAGAGGAGAAGTGAGGATTATAGATGATGGAATATCGATTACTTGTTCGAATAAAATAATTAGATATTGTTATAGCAATATTTCCTATTCTTTTCTAATATTATAATGATGATAACAATAATGATAATGATAATGATAATAATAACAATAATGATACTAGTAATGACAGTAATGATGATAATAATAGTTATAAATTAATAATAATAATAATGAAACAGTGACTCAACCCGGTGCCCCACAACACGAGAGACAGAGCGGGGAAACTGAATGATATTTGCATATGAACCAAGTGACGTAACAATCGCGAGACACCGGAAGTTTTTAAATATATATCAGGGCCTCGGGGCGTTGACGATGTGCGACCAAGCGAGAATTGATATTAAAAAAAAGGACACACATAATGAATAAACACACACACAAAGCGTAGGTTTAACGAGGGGAAGGTTATAGATTAATGATTGTACTGTAGCGAAAAGCGATAAGGTGTGTGGGTTATCTTGGGGTAAAAAAAAAAAAAAAAAAAAGTATATAGTTTCATTCGACAAGGTTTGATTTGCGCAGATTTTTGTTCTTGGTTTCTTTTACTTTTTTTTTTTTTTTTTTTTTTTTTTTTTTTTTTTTTTTTTTTTTTTTTTTTTTTTGTGAGTTTTCGTTTTCTTTTCCTTTCTTATTTTCTTTCGTTCGTCTTAGCATTAAATCAGAATACTCGGAATAATGGATGTTACTGTACCTGTCCATATTCTAGTTGAATTATCCGGAGTGAAGGGGCGTGAATGTGGATTTGCATAAGTAAACCACGCAAAAAGGGATCTATTCTATCTACTTCCACCACAATATCCACGCGTCAGAAATTTGTTTAAACAAAATCCGAATTCCTTGTCTCTCCTTCTATCCTCTTTGTCTCTCCTTCTCTCCTCTCTTCTTTGTTTCTCCTCTCTTCTTTGTCTCTCCTTTTCTCTTTGTCTTTCATCTCTTCTTTGTCTCTCCTTTTTTCTTTGTCTTTCCTCTCTTCTTTGTCTCTCCTATTCTCTTTGTCTTTCCTCTCTTCTTTCTCTCCTCTCTTCTTTGTCCTTCCTCTCTTCTTTGTCTCTCCTCTCTTCTTTGTCTCTCCTTTTCTCTTTGTCTTTCCTTCTCCCCTCTTTATCCTTACTTCTCCTCTCTTTGTCTCTACTTCTCCCCTCTCTGTCTCTCCTTCCCCCCTCTCTTCTTTGTTTCTCCTCTCTTCTTTGTCTCTCCTTCTCTCCTCTCTTCTTTGTCTCTCCTTCTCTCCTCTCTTCTTTGTCTCTCCTTCTCTCCTCTCTTCTTTGTCTCTCCTTCTCTCCTCTCTTCTTTGTCTCTCCTTCTCTCCTCTCTTCTTTGTTTCTCCTCTCTTCTTTGTCTCTCCTTTTCTCTTTGTCTTTCCTTCTCCCCTCTTTATCCTTACTTCTCCTCTCTTTGTCTCCCTCCCTCCCCTTTTTCTCTTCTCCCTCCCCCCTCCCCCCCATCCCCTCGTCTCCATTTTTTTCTTATTAAATCTCAGCCAATCACACCCTCCTTCAAAAAACTCTTATTTTATTTTCTCTCTCCCGTTTTCTTTGTCTCCCTCCCTCCCCTCTTTCTCTTTTCCCTCCCCCCTCCCCCCCCCCATCCCCTCGTCTTCATTTTTTTCTTATCAAATCAAATCGCACCCTCCTTCAAAAACATCTTATTTTTTCTCTCCCCTTTTCTTTGTCTCCCTCCCTCCATCTTCATTTTTTTTTCTTATCAGATCTCTCCCTCAAAAAACTCTTATTTTATTTTCTCTCTCCCGTTTTCTTTGTCTCCCTCCCCTCTTTCTCTTCTCCCCCCCTCTCCCCCCCCCCATCCCCTCGTCTCCATTCTCACGTGTTTTATCTCTTTTCGTCTCCATTTTTTTTTTTTCTTATCAAATCCCTCCTTCAAAAAACTCTTATTTTATTTTTATTTTTCTCTCTCTCTCCCTCAGGGCGGCAAGACCCTGGACCCGAACCGCTATGCCACCAAGAAGACGGTCGCTCAGGGCATGCTGGACATCGCCCTCCTGACGGCCAACGCGTCCCAGCTCAAGTACGTCCTCAGGATCGGCGAGAAACACGAGTTCTATAGCCTTATGCTCGGCCTTATCATCACGTCGTTGATCCTGCAGGTGAGGGGGGGCAGGGGGGGTCGAGAGTCTTTTGGAAAAAAAAGGTTCTTTGGTCCGCATTTTGAATTCTTTCTTTCTTTCTTTCCTTTGTCTTTTTCTATTGCTGTTTTCTTTTCTTTTTCTTTTTTTCTTTTTCTTTCTTTTCTTTCCTTGTTCTTTTTCTTTTTTTCCTTTTCCTTTTTCTCTTTCTTCTTTTTCTTTTTCTCTTTCTTCTTTTTCTTTTCTTTTCTTTTCCTTTTCTCTTTTTTTCTTTTCTTTTCTTTTCTTTTTCTTTTTCTTTTTCCTTCTTTTCTTGTTCTTTTTCTCTTTCTCTTTCTCTTTCTTTTTTTCTTTTCTTTTCTTTTCTCTTCTTTTTCTTTTCTTGTTCTTTTTCTCTTTTTCTTTCTTCTTTTTTCTTTTCTTTTCTTTTTTCTTTCTTTTTCTTTCTTTTCTTTTCTTTCTCTTTTTCATTTATTTTCTATATTTTTCTTTTTTCTTCTATTTTCGTCTTTTTCTTCTGTTCTTTCGAAGTGTGGTTTGCTTTATTATTATTACTTCTATTTTTTCTCTTCCTTTCTTCTGTTCTTTAGAGGTGTTTTCTTTCTTTCTTTCTCCTTCTCCTTCGGTTCTTTTGAGATATTTTTGTCACTTTTATTAATACTTTTTTCAGCTTTCGCAATATTAACATGCACATCCCAACGGTTACCTTGTTATTTTCTGGTTTTTAACACTCACTTTTATCTCCCCGTTTTCTATGATTAGATGATAACGTTGTTTGAATCTGACTGCTTATTAATTCTCTAAACGGTTAATTATAAGTTTAGTTTAGGTTTGAAATTATTATTTGATTTTTTTTATATATATTGGAAAAAAATAGATTATTTAGGTCCCTCAAGCAAAAAAAAAATATATGACCTTAAAGGGAAGTCACGTGTTTTATCAGATTTGTAATTCTGCTTCGTTTATCACTATTGGCTAAAATAAAGGTCTGTGTTGACAAATTATATAGTTAGTCAAGAGTTCAAGTAGATAAATGGTGTGTGTTCATAGGGCAGTTAATTATGTGTAAGTAGATAATACAAGTTAGTACCGGTCATTGGTAGATTTCACTGTCGCGTAAATATATATATATTTTTTTTTATGTGTTAAAGCCTCAGGAAAGAGATCGTAAGAGGCAATCCACTTGGCTGGAAGTAACTTGTGACTGTGTAGCTATGCTGAAATGCACATCGTAGAGTAATAGTAGTTTTGTTTTCACGTAGACGATAAGCATCGATTTCCCACCAAATATATTTACTCTCACCTCATATATACGTACACCTACATACATACGTACTCGTATACACACCTACAAATCTACACACGCACATAAACACACATCTACACACATATATACACACCTAAACACACACTCCTACAACTACACACACATAAATACACACCTACACACACATAAACACGCACTCCTACACACACACACACACACACCTAGACACACACACACACACCTACACACCTACACACACCTGCACACCTACACACCTACACACACCTACCTACACACACACACACACACACACACACACCTACACACACACTCCTCCACACACACACAGTCCATCGAAACATCATCAAGTTCCTCCCAGATTTTACACTAAGGTTGGTGGCATAATATCCATGCAGCTCGTGGTCGGTGTATTATCCGTGAGCTTGTCCATGCTCCGGGACTGTCGCCTGCACCTCCCGCATTACCGTATATCTGCAACAGTTATCAACAACCTCAACGTCATCCTCGTCTACATCATCACTGTACTGAATATCATCATCACTGGGTTTGGCATTTTACCCTCTGATGTGAATTTGTCCTTCTGAAAGAGGGGGGACTCGTGGCCAAATTAAAAGAGAAAGAGAGAGAGAGAAAAAAAGAAAAAAATGGAAAAAAAGGTTAAATGCTCTTTTTTGTTTTCATTTTGTCTGCATGGGTATTAATAGAGAAGCAGTGATGTTGTTGTCTGGCTATGTCCATTGTCATCATGCATGGGATGGTGATGATTAACTCTGCTGTGTATTGCAAGGCCAATTTGTGAATTGGGAATTAACAATATTTGGCCTTTGGATGTGAGTACGATTTTGTGTGTGTGTGTGAAATTCAGGAAGTAATGTTTCGTTGTTAAAAAAAAAAGAGTCAAAATTTAGATTGTCAAGTTCCCAAGGATGCCAGATTTTTGTGAAATTCAGGAAGTGAAGTTTCGTTGCAAAAAATAAAAATAAAAATAAAAAAGTCAAAATTTAGATTGTCAACTCCCCAAGGATGCCAGCCACCCTGCCAGGTCATGGTTAGCACATGGACCTTGCTAAGTGTGCCGAGAATATGTCTTTCATGTTTACACAGCATTAACAAAGATGCCAACTAACCTGCTTTACTCTATTAATCGAGGGTTACGGTGAGCTGTACGAGGTGGAAAGTTCGAGAAATCACATCCAAGTCTGGCGAGATATTTTTGTCAGAAGATTCAATGTTGCATGAACTGTGTTTGCATCTCCAAGTGCACTCTAAGTCTTGTCACTCCCTAACAACTATAACAAGTAGTGATCTAACCGAGAGATATTCATAACGATTATTTACTAACCTATTCTGTAATAATAACAATCTTTTATGAAGCTCAACTAATTCTTGTCTAATGATGTTAATAATTATTTCGTTTTAAGATGAATCTGTCTCTAAGTTCAAAATAGTCAATGGTAGAGCACTTTGCACTTTTTCTGAGACATTGCACGTGTACACTATGCAGATAGTCTAAAGTAAATTAAAATTAATTCCAACTACTAGAGAGAGAGAAAAAAAGAAAAATCATAAGATACTATTCAAATAGTTAATTATACCAATAAGGGAAATGAGACTAGTAAAAAAAAATAAAAAAATAGATATCATACCCAACCTATGAGGTTCTCAGAGTCTAGTAAACAGAGAAAAATGAAATAAAGTGAAGAAGATACATACTTATTTGCCTCAAAGAGTCATGTAAATGGAGACAACTAGTAGAATAAAAAAAAATGGATATTTGTCTCAGAGAGTCAAGTAAACGGAGACAGAAAAAAAATAGATAATTGCCTCAAACACATGAGATTAGTCAATAACATAAAAGTGTCCACGCAGCTGCTTGTCGGGCTGCTGTCGTTCTCGTTGTCCATGCTCCGCGACTGCCGGCTGCACCTGCCCGAGTTCCGAATCTCCGCTCTGGTGATCAACCACGTAAATATCATCTGCGTCTTCATCATCACGGCTCTGAACATCCTCATCAGCGGCTTCGGAATTTACCCGTCGGGCACAGCGGCGTTGCAGTCGGCCGTCTTCTGATCAGGACCGGATGGGATCGGATTAGATTCGGGTGGCGTCGGAAAAGATCGGATCGGAACCAAGGGGGCTCCGGCGAGAAGAAGGATGGGATGCGTCAACAGCTGATTCGCTTTTGTTTTTTTGGTTTTGTTTTTACAGGCGTCGGGTTCAAGAATATTTTCTTTGACGTGAAGATTATTATTATATATTTTTTTTATTATGTAATATATCAAGTGGATTCAATCGCCGGAAATCATAAATTAGTTGACATTATTATGTATTATGATTAAGGAATGACGATAAGAGTTGTAAGTTAATGCCTTTCAATATTTCCTATCCGTGGTCATCGCCACATTAAAGAAAAGATAAATGTATAGTGCCAAGACCTACTCATGCTCTGTAACCAAGTTGCCAGGCACTCGCGTATCAGAATATGGAGCTTTTCGTCAGTTCAGGATTTTTATATATGGTGGTCATTGCCACGTTATTGCAAGACGATCATTTTTGTTCAGAAAGATTTGCGAAGGCGACTTCCAGCTTGGCTTTGTTATGATCTTTGACTTCAGTCCACAAGGCAACACGCTACCTTTAAGAATCCTGTGGCGAAAGCACGATTGCCATTGTGTTTGTCTGTTTAGTATATGTACCCATGAGAGGATGTGAAACTATGCGTGCGAAGGTGGGTGTGTGTGTGTGTGCGTGTTCGTGTGTGCGTATGCGTATGCGTCTGCGTGTGCGTATGCTTCTATGTGTGCGTATGCTTCTGCGTGTGTGTGTGTGTGTGTGTGTGTGTGTGTGTGTGTGTGTGTGTGTGTGTGTGTGTGTGTGCGCGTGCGTGCGTGCGTGTGCTAGTGTGTGTGTGTATGTATGTATGTGGGCGTGCGTGTATGTCTGAAATTTCCCGCAACAATGGTTAAAAAAGTGCTCTATCATGCTATAGATAATCAAATAAAGCAACACCCATTTTTAACTGATTAGATTATGTTAATGACAGTTTAAGGTGTTAATTTGTTTAGGAAAGTCCTGAGAACAGACAGTGAATGTTTATGGTAGTCTTGATAAGCACTTTTTCAATTTTTTTTATAGGTTTGGCCATGATTCTTGAAAAAAATAAAAGAAGTATTACACCTTGTTGTCTTTCTATAACACTTCATGCCGTGTTAAGTGCATCCGACGCGTAAGAAACAGTATGATTTGTTAACACACGACCGTGCTTTTGATGTCTCTCCCATGTAGCAACTTCACCTATGGATCAGCCTTAGAAATGTTCCTTTTAGAGCAAGTTCGAAGAAATTCCTAAACTCACCAACGTGTATATAGCCTAAACATCCTGTTCACTAGCTAGGCTTCTTTTTTTTCTCTCACCCAAGGGTCAAAAGCAGTCAGTTCGTTCAACAGCAATAAAAAAAAAAAATAAAACACCTTTTTATAGACGAAGCTTCGCGTGTGCCTTCCGTAACTTCTGTTGTCTGTCATAGGGACTGACGGCGGCGCTGCTGACGGGTTTATCAGTTATAAATATCAATAATCCCTCAAAGCAGTGGCTAGCGGTGACCATCAATCACGTGACACTCGGCGTCATCATGCTTATCGCAGCTCTTGACGCCATAAAGATGGGTTTCGACTATGGATTCCAAGGCCAGAAAGTCGGAGATACTTTCATCCCCTAACAGCTTAACAGTAAGAAATGCTTGTATAAACTGCTTGCTTTCCATCCCACGCACCACGTTCTGAAACCAAGAAGAAAACAGCAACGACAACAATACGGTATATATTTAGATTTCTGGAGAAACACGTTCAAGGCATGTGTTTTTGTTTTGTTTTCAATGCCCGTCACCGCTGTTTGTGAAAGTTTGCGTCATGAGTGAAAAGACCTTGTTGTTTTGGTCTTGTTCTCGGAGCGTGATGCCCCGCCCCATTTCTCGCCGCCCACCAGCCCTTATGACAGTCACGGTAGTTCGTATGACCTGTAATTAACCACCCCCCCGTGTTCTGGCCCCTGCTCTGTGCTATCTTCAAGAAAAGACTTCGCTCGGGTGTCATTTAGGTCACTGTTGTGTTTTCATGGCTGTCGTCGAATTTTGCGCTTCCAGTTTTTGTTTTGAATTACGAATAACTGCATGTCGAGTCGCTAATCAAGTCTCTTAAGCTATGCCTTAACGCCTGTCTTTTGGTTTTATTCAAACTATCTCACCAAAATTATTCCGGAAGATACTGACTCCTCTTCCGCCAGTATCTTCTGTTATCATGGTTTCAGGCGTCTTATCTTGAAGTTTCACACAGCCTTATTCCATTTAAAAAAATCGTGTCAGAACACTTATCAGAATGCCATCCCCATTCATCATCCATCCAACTGATATTTAGATGATCAATTTTGTCCATAAGATTATAAAATTTATCCAAAGTTTTCGATCCCTGTATAGTAGAGTAAATCCATCGTCGTAACAGATGTTTTCAAACCCCGACAAGGTTCCCTTTTTAGTAACATTATCCCAGTGACTTTACAAAAATGTTCCCCCGAAGTGTTTTAAGACGGCAGGCGCTGCTGACGGGTTTATCAGTTATAAATATCAATATCCCTCAAAGCAGTGGCTAGCGGTGACCATCAATCACGTGACACTCGGCGTCATCATGCTTATCGCAGCTCTTGACGCCATAAAGATGGGTTTCGACTATGGATTCCAAGGCCAGAAAGTCGGAGATACTTTCATCCCCTAACAGCTTAACAGTAAGAAATGCTTGTATAAACTGCTTGCTTTCCATCCCACGCACCACGTTCTGAAACCAAGAAGAAAACAGCAACGACAACAATACGGTATATATTTAGATTTCTGGAGAAACACGTTCAAGGCATGTGTTTTTGTTTTGTTTTTTCAATGCCCGTCACCGCTGTTTGTGAAAGTTTGCGTCATGAGTGAAAAGACCTTGTTGTTTTGGTCTTGTTCTCGGAGCGTGATGCCCCGCCCCATTTCTCGCCGCCCACCAGCCCTTATGACAGTCACGGTAGTTCGTATGACCTGTAATTAACCACCCCCCCGTGTTCTGGCCCCTGCTCTGTGCTATCTTCAAGAAAAGACTTCGCTCGGGTGTCATTTACGGTCACTGTTGTGTTTTCATGGCTGTCGTCGAATTTTGCGCTTCCAGTTTTTGTTTTGAATTACGAATAACTGCATGTCGAGTCGCTAATCAAGTCTCTTAAGCTATGCCTTAACGCCTGTCTTTTGTTTCATTCAAACTATCTCACCAAAATTATTCCGGAAGATACTGACTCCTCTTCCGCCAGTATCTTCTGTTATCATGGTTTCAGGCGTCTTATCTTGAAGTTTCACACAGCCTTATTCCATTTAAAAAAATCGTGTCAGAACACTTATCAGAATGCCATCCCCATTCATCATCCATCCAACTGATATTTAGATGATCAATTTTGTCCATAAGATTATAAATTTTATCCAAAGTTTTCGATCCCTGTATAGTAGAGTAAATCCATCGTCGTAACAGATGTTTTCAAACCCCGACAAAGTTCCCTTTTTAGTAACATTATCCCAGTGACTTTACAAAAATGTTTCCCCGAAGTGTTTTAAAAACCCCTTCAGTAATGCCATCCCCCCGTTATACAGAAATTTCCCCCAGATGTTTAAAAGAAACCCTCCGATGATGCTTTCTTTAATAAGACCATCACCCGTTATACAGGAATTTCCCCCCAGATGTTTGAAACCCCTTTAGTAACACCATCCCCGTGACATTGCAGGTGCTGGTGGGCGTGTTGTTCCTCATAATCGGCGGGATGGACATTAACGACCCAAAACAGCACACGGTCGCGGACATCCTAAACAACGTTATCCTTCTCTTCGTGTTTCTGATCTCCGTGGACAATGTGGTGCTCTCTTCCTTCGGGCTTGAACAAATGAACATGCACCCGCCGGGAACACCGATTAATGGCACGAGCAACAAGGAGCTTTGAGGGGATATCTTTTTCTTTTTTTTCTGTTTTCTTCTTTTTTTTTAGGGGGGGGGGTGTTGTTTCCTGTTTCAGAGGCTTATTTCTATTTTGTAAAAAAGAAAAAGAAAATTGAATCCGTAGACACATCTAACCTTGTGAAATTTGATTAGGTAGTTGGTTCTTGACGTCTTAAATGTTTGTTTGTTTTTTTGTGTGTGTGTGATCTGTATGTTTTATGGTGTGGCTGGAGTTTAGTAAAAATATATCTGACTAGATATATACACAACGCCTACGTTATAAATTTCCAATTTGCTTGATTTATTCCCCGGGAATAATCAGAAATCCTCCCACAGAAAGCCGAGTTTGTATCCATTGTGAAATACCCAAGCAAGCACACCCATGAACACCCCAGATCACAGAGACATTTAAGACGTCAGGAGCATTCATTGTACACACGACCTCCAACAAGGCTTTACGATTCCCGGTATGTACACTTGGCCTTAGAACAACGGTCACCACACAGCTTCCTAAACCTTGTTCCTCTGTGATCCTGGCCCGTGCCTCTCTCCCTATACTTATATAAAGTTACACAGCGCGTCAATGTGCAGTATATCTATTACACTTGGCATGCGAAACTTTTAAGGAAAAAAAAGAAACAAGAAACGTAATTTAAGTGGTGTTGGGACCTATCTTTCATAAGCAGTTGAGTCAAGTCGTAGTCATTTCTCCGATGCTGTCTGTAGCTCGACAGTGAATGTGCTCAGTTGGAAATTCCTTTTCTTCTTCTTTCTTTTCATTTTCTTTTGTTTTAGTATGATGTTCCGAAATTAGCACTTCAAGAACCGCATGGCTGCTTGTGCATTTCCTGAAGACAACTTTTGAAGGCTTGTTATTATTAAAAATTGCCCTATTTCTTAGAAAGTATAAATGTCGTTGCTTTGAGTGATTTCATTGTGTTTTTCGTTTAAGGATAATTGAACATAGATTGGCACTTTCCACGCATCGTAGAAAGTTTCAAATTAAGGAATATTTTTTGGTGACCAGAATATCAAAAAAAATGTAATACATATTAAAAGAAACGAAAGTATTTCACTCAAAATTTGTATGAGTAAGCAATACATAAATAAGTTATATGTGGTTTGTATAGATACTAAGAATCTCATCTTTATTGTCATGTCAGAATTAAAAAAACAAAAAAACAACAAAAAAACAAGAATAACTATTTTAAAGACAAGCAATACATTTTATTAGCAATATATATGTGTGTGTGTGTGTGAAGACGAAACTAAAATATATCTGAAGTCCAATACCTATAGATGGCGCCTCTCTTTTATATTCAAGTAGTCTGGAGTTGAACTTTATTACGCGCTGTTTAAGGTCTCTTGTTCGCGTTCAATTAGGTACATTTCTTCAAGGCTGATTAAAAGATCCTCCTCCTTTTTCTCCCGTGGGCGTGACCGCAACGAGGTTTACGTAGCTCGATTACCAGACAAATATATATACATATTTATATATATATATACCTTTGGCTTCCGTCAACATAACTCCCGTTTCTGTGCTGGTTCTCGAATCGAATCTTCTTGTTTTGACCTTTTTGCAATTGTATGGGCCTAAGCAGCTATTAGTAATTGTTCATAACAATAGATTATTACACGAATGATTTCCTTGGATTATTATGAAATTTGAATTGCGTGACAATCAAGGTGTAAAAAAAAAATAATATGAATGTTCTCTTCCCCAAACATTTTTAACCGTGTGAGTTCGAGAGAGCGAGACAATACTCTCAGCTGAAAATATGAATATATATGTCGAGGAAAATAATAATAATTGTAGCGAAGCTGTGACGAGACAGAAGGAATAGCTGAGTTACAGATGACGAAATTGTCCTTTGCCTGGATGAAAACGGAATCATGATCAGAAAATGACACTCGTTAAAATGAGGAATTATAATACTTAATGTGATGATTAGTTTTGCCGCTGTGCTTTGTCAACTTGGTCTTTACGATTTCCAGGACTTCGCGAATTGTTCAGAATTAATTACTCGTATTCCTGTATCTTTCTTGTTTCGAGTTACATGCCCACGGCAATCACGCGAAAGGGACTTTTTCCATATCCCAAATTCAATCATTTTACAATCATTTGATATAACAAAACTAACGATCAAAATTTTACGAGAGGATACGTAGCGAGTTCTGCTAACTACTAGACTTTATTCATATTAGACTATTTTTTTTTTTTTTTTCATCATTTTCCAACAAATTCGACAGAAAACAGAGACTCGGAAAACGTAATGATCAAAGTCGCTCTTTCGGCTCACAGAGGGTTACACTGCTATCATCTAGTTGAGTTAAGGTTGCTTGATCAAACTTTTGAGTACTTTCCTCTTTGTTGACTATTATGTACTGTGATACACTGACCTAAGTACAACACTAAGTGTTATTTTACAATCGCAAGTTTGTATCTAGCAATAGACAGTATTTTTAAATTGTTAATGTTGTAAATCACAAGAAATTTTGTAAATGTACTCAAGGTGAAAGTTAGGTACAATAACATCTTACGAAGTTTATTGGTAAAGAAAATATTAAACTTACAGATTACAGTAACAGGTTCATGCGTAACGACAAATACAATGAAGTATATGTGTATATTCTAAATCGTAAGTTGGAAGCCAAAACATTTAGCACAAAAAATGTTACTTAACTCTTCACCTGACTGATATTTTTCCCAACTATGTACATACTTATGGTGTGATTTCAAATAAACAAAAAAAGATTATGCGAGTGTTTTTTTTTCAGTCCTTAGCTCAGTTTTTTCAAATGTTCCTTTGATGATTAATGACACTTTATCTCATTTTTAGTTCAGATTATTATTATTTTTTTTTTAATGTTCTATGGCAATTCATTTAAAATGTTACTATTATGATTAGTACAACCATAATTGTTACTGTATGCCGGTGCTGATTATTACCAATAATTTTGACTGGTTATTTTGTAGATAACAGATATGAAAACAATAATTCTAAATCATATAGATAAATAGTACAAAATATATATGAATGAGCAGCACTGATGACAATGATAGTTCTCTTTTAATAAACTTAGAATTAAGTGATAACAAATATTAGATAACAAGATTCGTGATAACAAGAAACACTACGCAAATCAACAAAAGCAAATAAGGATTAAAATGAACAATTATTCATGATTCACTCTTTTAACACTGGCAACGGATATTACGATAACCAGGTATCCCACTGATTTTTTTTTAAGCAGTCCAACAGGGATAATAATACGTATAGTAATGACGACGATGATGCAGTGAAAGTGAAAGTATATTAATTAAGGAAGCAGAGGTTTTGGAATATCCACTCGACTGTGATGATGATCGCCAGACATACGGAGTGAAGAGGTAAGCATAGTAATTAGATGCACATTTGTTTTATACTAATCATAGCCATACATACACATAAAGTACTTCACTCACAAACCAATATAAAAAGATAAATATATATTATATATATATATATATATATATATATATATATATATATACATACATACATACATACATATGTACATATATATACACATATATATACACATATATGTGTATATATATGTGTGTGTATTTATTTATACATATGTATGTATATTTATGTATATAATATATATATGTATATATATATATATATATATATATATATATATATATACATACATATTTATATATACGTATATATACATACATACATACGTATATATACGTATATATACATACATATTTATATATACGTATATATACATACATACATACGTATATATACGTATATATACATACATACGTATATATACGTATATATACATACATATATATATATATATATATATATGTATATATATATGTATATATATATGTTTATATATATGTATATATATATGTATATATATATATATATATATATATATATATATATATATATATATATATATATATATGTATATATACATACATACATATATATACGTATATATACATACATATATATTTATATATATATATATATATATATATATATATATATATATATATATACGTATATATACATACATACATATATATACGTATATATACATACATATATATGTGTGTGTGTGTGTGTGCGTGTGCGTGCGTGTGTGTGTGTATACACACATATATGCATGTGTATATATACATATAGATACATATATACACATATACGTATATATACATACACATACACACATATAGTTGTGTGTATATATATATATATATATATATATATATATATATATATATATATATATATATACATATGCATATATATGCTTACATATAGACACATATACATGTGTGTGTTTGTTTGTGTTTGTATATGACGTTATTTCTAAGTCTTAATAATGACAAGTGCAAAACAACATCAGTAATAATAATAATAATGATGATAATAAACGATAGCACAAAAATATAAAAGCAACAACAATAACCAAAATCTCAGCGGTGAAAATGCAATGGTAACATACAAACACACCATAAAAAAATATGAAACGATGAAAAACCTACAACCTGAAATGCAAGTGAAGCAATAGATATGCAAACCAAAAATTATGTTCTTGAGATTCTTTAGAGATTCTTAAAATATAATGCTGACAGTACAAGAATCATATATATATACACACATCTGCGAGGATACATGCACTCACAGCGCAGAACCTCAGTCAGCATATTACAAATAAACAAACGCCTAATGTACCCCCATGTGCCCTTTCTTACGATACACGTAGAATGAACTGATGGAGTTACTGAGTATCAGAAAACCGAATACCCACATTGTGAAGGGGCACAAATTGACTTCATTGTACGTAAATTGCCCGTTATACTCCGATGGGCAGAGAAATGCCAACTCGACGTGTGATCCTTTCAAATAAAAATCTCACTTTCCTTTCGAACTGTATCCTTTTTTTCCCCTGGACACATGCACACATATATATATTTTTTTTTACTCTTATTAATAATATTTCTGGGGACCTTATTAGATCCAAAACCACATTCCTAAATAGTGAACTCCAGTGAAAAATACCCAGTGCAAGATACGGCACTAAGAAGATGCTATTGCAGACCTGCTATCAACGAAAAAGAGAAAAAAAAACAAATAATATACAAAAATGAAAAAAAAAACACTCAAAGCACAGCATCTCCTGTGATCCGATCCATCAAACGAGTGAGATCGTCTCCTAATCTATGTAATTTTCTCAATCTTAACAATAATCACATTAAATATAGAACAATCCAGCCTGATTCCCGTGCCCCCCCTTCACCCAAACATTTAGAAAACGAACTATGTATTGAGAATACAACTGTAACTTCATTTTTTTTACGAATGTCTGTAACAAGTTCGAGAATCGACCTAAACGCAATGACACCGATGACTTGATGATGAATGTGCTATAAATAATGATGACGATTGCAATGACATCAATGACTGACATGATAGAAACGGTGATAATAAGAGCGAATGAGTAGTGATGATGATGACAATAATGATAATGATTATAATAGCAATGATAATAATAATAATAACAGTAATGATAATATTAATAACGGTATTGATAATGATGATAATTCTAACGATAAAAATACAATGATAATGACAATGTTCATGATGATAATAATGATAATAATCACAAATGTAATGGTGGTTGATGGTGATAACAATATCATAGTAAAAATGATAATAGTAATAACAATAATAATAATAATAACAACAATGACAGTAATAATGATAATAATGAAATAACAATAATAATGAAAATGATAACAACAAAAAAAAAATAATAGTGATGATAACAAGAATGATAACAGAATAATTATAGTGATGGCGATGTTTGCGTTGATTATGATGATGATAATAATATACACATACATGATAATGATGATGACGATGAAATTAATAATAACAATATAACAGCAGCAGCAACAACAACAATAATAATAATGATAAAAATAATAGTAATGATAATGATAATTATTATAATAATAACAACAATAATAATAACGTTAGAAATAATAATAATAATAATAATAATAGTAATAATTATAATAATTATCATAATATTAATAATGATGGTAAACTGATATCAGTTATTATAGCGATAATGATATAAATGTTTTGATAATGGAAACAATACCAATGATCAATGTTCTTTGTTGTTTATTTTTTTAGATATAATAAGACTAATTCAGATTAAAGAATTTCAGTCCATATGCATCTTTACATCTGAAATATTTGCTTTCATCATTATTACTCCCAGTATGAGAAATAGTACATTATTTGTTTAATTATAGTATAGTCGTGATCCGAGTTAATTCAAGCCTATCGCGAACTCTTTATAATGATGATAGTAATAATAATGTTATTAAAAATAATAGATAAAATATAAATATATATTTATGTAAGAATATATCTGTGTATAGATATATCGAAATCTAGATAAATCAAAATATTATTAGATTTCTATTAAAATATAATCGCCGCCACCACCGCTGTCTTATTAGAAAACGGGAAAAAACAGATCTCCTCCAAGTGAATCAATTATTTTAATAATATTAAAATCATAATTCCTGTGATGAAGGGATTGAGTAAACTAAAGTTAAAGTTTTCTATATTCTACTATTTTTTATTTTACAATATAATTACAGTAAGTCTATATTCTCTTGAAATACCTTAAATCTATATTCAACTGGAACGTTCTTTAAAAATTCGATGATGATAACTGACAAGCCCTGTTCACCAAAATAACCACCAAAGAGACTAAGGTCATAGTTTCTCCGTAGATCTCTCTTGAACAACGTCCCACAGACGAGTAGGAAAGCGACCCGGGGTCAGCCTGCCGCTCGCTCCCTCACGAACATCGTCGTCACGTGATCGTATATCGTACGATGTCCCATCATCACGGTTTTTTCCACTTGTGCCCAGGACTCGCAATTTTCCTTTCTTTTCTAACACTCATGGTAGATTCCTTACTCTTCCTCAGATATACCTATATATAGATATATCTCTATATATGTATATAGATATACCTCTATATATGTATATAGATATATCTCTATATATGTATATAGATATATCTCTATTTATGTATATAGATATATCTCTATATATGTATATAGATATATCTCTATATATGTATATAGATATATCTTTATAGATATTTCTATATACTAAACCGTACGTTGGCAACTAAAATATTTACAACATAATCTCACTTAACTACTCGCTTAACTGATATTTTGTCTTATGGGATAAATTATCACAGAATAACAGCTCTATCTGCATATTCTAAGACTACAAAGGCTGACAGGATTATCCCTTGTATTGTCTCCAGCTTTTCTGCTTTTCAGAGGCAGTTACTAAAATCTGGTCATTTTCAGAAAAAATCAATTATTTTTTTTATAATGTAATCCTTTACTTGAGAAAATGAGATCGTGTTTTCAAAAAAAAAAAAAAAAGTTAAACCTAAACTGTGAAAATGCAGATCTCATCGGGAATAAATTAATATAATTTAATCGTCGTGTTTAGGAGCAAATACAATGTCTACTTATCTTAGAAAAGTAAAGAAAAAGGAAAAAAAATGAGAGAGATAAAAAAAGAATAATTTGTCATAGTCACCCCGATTCCATGAAGAGAACTATACTTCTCAAAAGGCGGGTTATTCAAATGACGGGCAAACTGTCCCATCTAAAAAAAAAGCAAAGACAGCATTGCTTATGTAGAATATTAAGATTATATATACGGATATATATATACATATATATATATATATATATATATATATATATATATATATATATATATATATACATATACATATATATATATACATATATATATATATATATATATATATATATATATATATATATATATATATATATATATATACATATATATATATATATAGATAGATAGATAGATAGATAGATAGATAGATAGATAGATAGATAGATAGATAGATAGATAGATAGATAGATAGATAGATAGATATAGATAAGGTATGAATGAGAATGAGTATCTTCACAATACGAGAGATGTATTTGATCGGTTTCGAATTATATCTTTGTCAGAAATACATGTATTTCTGACGAAGATATAATTCGAAACCGAACAAATACATCTCTTGTATTGTGAAGATACTCATTCTCATTCATACCTTATCTACATTTGTCGACATAAATACGGTTCATATATTATATATATACATATATATATATATATATATATATATATATATATATATATATATATATATATATATATACATTTACATATATACAAACACACACAAATACTGCCGTGATGGTCCAGTGGATTGACTCCGACCCTCGTAGTCAATTCCCCGCCACGGCAGTTGTAAAGGATTCCTGCGCTCCGACTGTTGGCTCGAGCCTGATCTCACGGCGAGAAAACGACATATCAAACGCAAGTGTCGACGAGGAAGTCGCCGCCATGGCATAAGTTGATTAGGAAGGGCATCCAATCAGGTAAGGGTGGTACTGCCAAATGACCTCTCAATAATAGATTGGGAGAGGCCTAGATCCTGCAGCGGAATGAATGACTGTTTAAAAAAGAAGAAAATAAAAGGAAAGAAAATAAAAATATTTATACAGATATATATGTTTATATATATATGTATATTATATATATATATATATATATATATATATATATATATATATATATATATATATATATATCCGTATATGTAATCTGCATTGAGTCGTACTTGAACTGAATTCTACTTACACACACACACACACACACACACACACACACACACACACACACACACACACACACACACACACACACACATATATATATATATATATATATATATATATATATATATATATATATATATAGAGAGAGAGAGAGAGAGAGAGAGAGAGAGAGAGAGAGAGAGTGTATGTGTGTGTGGGTGCGTGGGTGCGTGCGTGCGTGTGTGCGTATGTGTGTGTGTGTGTGTGTGTGTGTGTGTGTGTGTGTGTGTGTGTGTGTGTGTGTGTGTGTGTGTGTGTGTGTGTGTGTGTGTGTGTGTATGTGTGTGTGTGTGTGTGTGTGTGTGTGCATTCATACTTTTATTTTTATTTGCCGAAATAATGAGAGTCAGAAATGTCGTTTTCTTTTGTGAATTTTGTAGCACACAGATGGCTCCACAAGCGCTAAGCCACCAAGGAATCAAAAGGCGTGACTTCGTGACTTCACCTGATTTCCCCATATCTCGAATTTTCGTATGGTTTTCTACCTCAAATGCCGTTCATACTGATTCTGTTATTATGATCAATGGCATTAAGATTGTTAAATACTAATATCAATTTTCCAGTTTCCTTCAAAACGTGAGAACCCCACAACACATACACGTTCTTCTTTGTCTCCTTCACCTTCCGTTTCGCAGTTTTTCTGTTATCTGTAAGTTTATTCAACCTTCCCCTATCCCCTCATTTTGGTATTTGTTCAGAATACCTTCACATGACCGATCACGACGATAGAGATAACGATGGATTCCTCTCACTCTCTACTCCCCATTTATGTAGAAATTATAACGTAAACCTCTCCTCCTCCCCCACCACTAGTACCTGCAATTTTGGTCCCGATAGTATAGGAGGGTATGAATGGTACCACCGAAATTGCGAGATACAGTATCAATACTATACAGACAATCAGTCAATATATAGCCCTGTGCAGGATGCTGTGCTCTATGCAACCTCTCCCCCCATAAAGACACTCCAACCCTGACCTCAATGCATCATATGGACGGCATAATAGAGCTTAGGACAGGCTCCAACATACCCTCCCATGCCAAGAGTATGGGCATTTAGGGAGGGGGGCTACATCTATGGGTAGCAGAGAGTGGGAGGAATCTTTTAATACTACTATTGCCCTGATTTGTCATGAGAAGGTACTCTGAATGATTACCGAGTGTGTATGTTTTACATTTCGATTCTGTGTACAGTTTGATACTTGCCCAGTCAACAGCTTGCTTTTCCAGAGTTGTAACATTTCAAACTCTGCATTACTAACATAATTATAATGGGGAATATAGGATAATTATTAGTGTATTACTATTTTCATTATTATTTAAAAGTTTCATTATTATTGCTATTATCATTAAGAATGTTAGTTGTAGTAGTTGTAATTATTAATAGCAGTAATTATCAATAGTGGTTATATTAATATCATTATTATTATCATAATCATTACATTTTCATCATTATCATAACTATTTTACTTTTTATCATTAGTGTATTATTATTATTGTTGTTAATATAATAATCATTATACTGTCTCTCTGCCATTCTTATTACTGTCATCATAATCAGTTTTGACAACTACAATGCTCCAACATGAAAGTACAGTAAGTCCTCAATTTAAGAACATAATGGGGACCAAGAGGCTGTTTGTAAGTTGATTTGTTTGTATGTCGAAAGTCGGTCTCTATTACCTTTTTTCCCATTGTTTTAAAGTTTTGTTTACATTAAGAATACCTGTAAATAAATCCCAATAAGTACGACATACCTTATACAGTACCAGACTCTTGAACTATATTCGTGCCCGTGAAATTTGAAGTTTGCTAGCATCTTTCAAACAATTTTTTGGACTTTAGTACTTAAAAAATTTTGTTTGTATGTATGGAATGTTCATAAGTAGAATGTTCTTAAGTAGGGGACTATCTGTATTAGCTATCTGTGTTATAATGCAACAATTATCACTTTTTAGTATTACTCCTAAAAATCTACTCCACCTCTTAAAAAATTGCTATGGTATAATTTTCTATTAACTCAAGGCACAAAGACTTTGTTCTCTAAAAGGACAAGGTACTTACAAAGGAGCTGACTAATATAAGCATTCAATTGAAATACAAAAGATTGAAGACTAAAGTCCAAAGCCTTTATGAATATCTCTGTGTTTTGTTACCGAGGTAAACTGTGTATACCTTAACCTGAAAAAATACAAAGCATTCATTAAACTAGCTTTTTTGTCCTTATGACCAAGTGTTACGGGTTATTTTGAACCTTGAGAAAATGCTTCTTCCATATAAATGCTTTGCCATGTAATTTAACATATTATTTTAACAAAACTTTAGTAATTTAAGTATGAATGGAAAAAAATATGACTCCTTTACATAAATACATTTTAAAGCAAGGTTACAAAAAAAGACAGTTTTTCCATTTCAATTTGTATTCAAAAATTCACATCCTGTGTACAATATTATACATAATTACATCATTCTGTACAGTATAGAAGAAATTTTGAAGGCAAACAGATATGGGGGAAAATGATCATACACGAAGATCAAATTTCCCTCTCTTCCACAAGTTCACTCTGTTGATATGCTTTTCCTCTACAAGTTAGTATCGGGAAGTCATAACAGTTGTAAGGTAGCGCCGCTTTTCCTCTCCACCGAGGATACCAATCTCTGCCACGACCTCCTCCATACCCACTGTGTGCCAGCCTTCCTCGTCCAGCTCGCTGTTGTATTCCAGTCCAAGTTCGTTCAGCACCTTAGGAATGAATATTCAATTTAAATATGGCTCCTGAGTCATCTTAATCTTAATATTACAAATATTTTTACACTCTTGACAGTAGGATTAAATAGGCCAATCATGTAAATAATAGTGTGAATAACTAGATATAATTATATTAATATAATGTTGATAAAAAAGTAATAATAATAATGGTAATATTAATAAAAAGAAAGAGATGATTATTAATTATTTTAGTATTATTATCACTATCATCATCATTACAAAAATCATAACAATAACATGATAACAATAACAAGGATTAATAATAAAAGTAATGAAAATGACACAAATGACAGAACACATTTGATTACCATTTCATTCTCATTCATCAGTGCAATGTTGTGAAGAATGCAAGCAGCCCTGATGAGCTTCCCATTAGTCTCAACGTGCCTGTCCAGGAGCTGCATTCGCCTGAATCGCGACTTGAATACTGTCATTGCATTGGCTGACAATTTCTGAGCTTCATTGTGGTTCTCATTGAACAGCGCTTCCTGTGTGTCAGAAAAAATAACATGTATGTACCCATATCTCTTACCTTATCTCTCATTATTTGTCTTCTTCTTTTATATCTTCTCACTATCTTCTACTCCTACCATTTACTACATGGGCCAACAATATATACTTGCTCTGACTTGTACTTGCTTTAAATGCATATTAAATCTTGTTAATTTTGAGTATTCCACTACAGGAGGGGCTCTTAGAGTATTTGATGGAACCTCAAGTCGCCAATGAGTTGAAAGGGGGCCATGAAAGTCGCCAATGAGTTGAAAGGGGGCCATGAAAGTCGCCAATGAGTTGAAAGGGGGCCATGAAAGTCGCCAATGAGTTGAAAGGGGGCCATGAAACGGACAAGACAGTTGAAAGGGAATGGATGAGTAGCAAGGTCAGTGGACTGAATGATAGTTGGAGTTCAAGGATTTCAACAAATGACTAGAGGTAATATATGAGGAGTGTGCTGGACATTCATACAAGACTTTTGGGTCCCTATAGAATTACAGATGTCTAAACCTGTCCTTGGTGTTTTGTGAAGGTTCATTTACACGTGAAATCCTGCATAGCCACCTTTCCTGTGCTCATCCAATATATATGAAAGTGTTGGTGAGGGTATCATTTAAAATCAGAATTCTATCTTTTGATTTTATAATAATATATACTTTTTTTTTCAAAATATACTTTATAGGGTAGGATATGACTTGTAATTTCATTAAAATTTTATGGATGGGGATCACTGAAAATCCTGAAACTTTATTAAGGGATCAATAGACTACTGCATTATAGGAAGATAATGCAAGTCAAGTCTAGGGAAAGTGCTTTCATTCTACTTGTTAAAACAATGCATCTTTGATTATTAATATGTTTGTTTATAAAGCCTTCAAATTTGTGTTTCAAATGGCTATGAGATGAAACTATAATTAGACTTTTAAAAATACATTTATTTCTAAAGTAACATCTAATTAAGAAAACATATTTCACCTATATGTTCAAGGACACTTTAATGTAATGAACATATAAAGCTGTTCTTGTTTGAGAGTACTATGCTCTAATGCTAGTGCTCTTCAACTAAATGAAATCAAGAAAATCAAAGAAAGAATACTAAATTACAGATAAATATATTCAACAAATACATTTTTGTCATACCTGATATGTCAATGTTTCCGTCATATGCGGTGTCATCACAGCTGGAGCCAATGGATACACAGCTGGCGCTACAAGATGAGTCTCAGCACTAGTCAGATTTTGTATAGTTATCCAAGCATCAGATTCCTTTGAAGAAAAAAAGAGCAAAAGGTAATAGAAAGCTAAAAATAACAATAACACAGCCTTAGCACTCCTTAATGACTGCATTTCATCAAAAGTCCTTCTCCAAGTAAGGGATACTGACTATCAACACATTACCAACAAACTATATCATCAACACAGTATATCCCTCTTAAGCAGCCCTCTTCCCATACCTGGAAAACCTGGAAACGAGTCCCTGTTTTGGGAGCGTCCAGATGGATGTCCCGGAACACTAGTCGATGGTCGACGACGAACTGCAACACAAAGCCATACTTGGATTCCTCTTCGGTGGTGACGTAGGCGTAATTCAGCCTGTCGTCACCTGCAGGAGCCATCATGTGAATGAGGGCGGCATCCAGGGCCCCAAACACGCCTGGGAATCCACAGTCATGCTTGATTACTTCAGCTATCTTCACTCTGAAATTAATTGGAGGATGTCAATCCAGGAGGCTGTTCAAGATGTAAGCATGCTACTAAGTCCATTACTGATATATGTATATCTATGTGGGGGAAGGGGAGTTGATGCAAGTGCATGTTTGTACATGTTCTTTTGTTTATGCCCATGGATGTACATAACCATGTACTTGTAATAATAAAAGTATATCTACATACAGGAACTTCTGACAGAAGAAAGTTGCCCACTAACCTTTCTTCAACTGGTGGCCATTTTAAGTACTTTTCCTGCTGCCCAAGCAAGAAGTCTGCAAACATCACCATAGTCTCAAAGAGTTTCCCAGCCTTCACTTTAAACCTAGAAAGGAAAATTAACTATTAGATAAGTGCAACAAAAGTTACAATTTTTTCTTTGGTTCTTGACCAGAGATCTATATTCAAAATCTTACATTAGAATGTATAAATGAATACTATTATCACTTGTCCTCTACATTTCTAGATGTCAGGATATTTTTTATCCTTTTTCCAATCAGCTGTTACACATTCATAGACTACCACATAAAAAAATACAAAGAATCAAGATTGTCAAAAGCATAAACACGTGTTCAAGAGAAATCATACCAAAAGTAGGCCGTAATAAATCAACCACTACTGCTACAAAAACAAATACTGTTATCATACTTTGCACTCGCCGCGGATAGGCTGTCAGTCGACCCAAGGTAATAGAGCCCAGCCAGAACCAGCTGGTCTAGGGGCTGGACCTTATCAGCTGGAAGACCTGTTGATTCTAATCTGAATGACTCCACTCGGTGCCACTCGTCAACAAGTATCTGCAAACAAGAGATGGATGATTTTCCTTTTTCTCCTCAGAAACGGAACTTGAAGATACAAAAGAAATATGCTTGAGGAAAGGAAATGCACACAAATATATTATGTATCTAGATAGTTAGCTTGGCTTGGCTTTTCCTAGTGATGAAAATGGTGAAGTGAAATATGTATATCATGTATATCATACCAACTATATTAATGCTTGGGACTATCCTCATATATCTATTACAAAAGTATGTATTTGGCACTATCATAAAGAAAGCAAAGTTTTGTAAATAAAATATTGTGAAAAAGGACAAAGAATGTGTATGTGTGTGTGTGTGTGTGTGTGTGTGTGTGTGTGTGTGTGTGTGTGTGTGTGTGTGTGTGTGTGTGTGTGTGTGTGTGTGTGTGTTACATTGTTACATTCATAGAAAAAACAGTATTTTGTACCAGACACCAGTTTCTCCTTGGCTGGAACTCCCGTAGATATGCATAAATAATTTTTCCCTCCTTTTGCTCTCATCCAACTATATGGCACTAAAGCTAACCAACCATTTAAATTCAACAATATTCAAATAACATACCTGATATACAGGCTTTGTGACTCGGAATGTCTGGAGGAAGTCCCCATCATTCAGCTCTGTGTCCCACGTTGGAAGTAAAGACAAACGGCTACTTCTTTGCTTGCGAGGTCTGCTGGTCTGCAAAAAATATAAACATACATGATTTTTTAAAATACAGGGACATAGAAATACAGGTAAATCATTACCAGTAATGAAATAGAAAAAATAAATATGTCCATATTCATAAAAAAAAAAAAAAAAATAACCAATCAATAGAGTAAGAATTCAGAGAATCACGCAAAATAAAAACTTGTGCAGTTGATTACTTACTGGACCTTTCCTGTGATTGCAATGATCTGACTCCTTTGGCAACTGTATGTAGATTCTCCTCTCGCCAAACACTTGCTCCTCTTTTAGAGCCGTTCTTAAATTATTTGATTTCAGCTTCTTTGCCTCACGGGAATTTACATCCACCTGTATAAAATTTGATGCCATTTACCATCACAGCAAGTATTGTATTGTCAATTAACCTATTTCACACGGATACAAAAGATCCTGCATAGCTAAAACCAGTACTTAAGTTTAATGAGAGGTATCAGGAAATATTCATGATATAATCTCTCTTCTTAGGGAAACATTTAAAATTATATCTTACTAGTACATAAAAACTAGACGTGCTTACCTTAAAATCTGGAAATTTAATCACATCTTTGAGAAATATCTTGGCAGGACAATCCACTTTTTTGGAAACATGTTTTGTTACTTCCTCTTCCTTCCACAGATCATTCTGTTATGTCAAAGCAACAGACAAATTAGAAATTACATAATTTCAAATATAATTTCAGTGAATAGCAACCATCAAAGTCATTAGTGCTTATATCAAAATAAAAGCAAAGGAACTAAAGTAATGTAAGCAACATAGTTCCTTACCTTTTTTCTTTCTAAATGATTTTTCTTTTGATAGGCACTCCTGTTAACTCCATACTGGCATTCCAATACTTTAGTTCCATTCAGTATGTATGGCACCCCATCAAACTCTGGCAGAGTGTTCTCCCTTGTCTCTTCCTGTTGCCAGAGAATCTTGCGATTGTCTACACTCCATTCTGGAAATTGGGAAAATTGCATAATATAGAACAGAGATCTTAATATTCATTGAAGAAGAAAAAAAAAAAAAAAAAATGTATATCCATAATGCCTGTTTCTCTATTCTTGATAATTAAATCTTTTAAAAACAACTTACCATCTCTACCAAAACTTCTTTGAACCTTGTAGCATGTAAAACGGGAAGAAGTCCGTTGCTGGAAGAGATTCACAACCTCGTTGGCCCTGTCTACGGACAGAACATACCCACAGTTTGGTTTCAGCATGTAATCAAAGTAGTCTGCATCCATCTCTGTTTTAGCTATAATTTCCCCACTAACAATATTCTCTTCAGCTGCAGCTTCAGGTGTTTCTACTGCTTCTGTAACATCCATATTTACATCAACCTGGTTTTCCAGATACCCTACTTCATTTTTCTCACAGCTTTCTTCTTGCGGTACATATCTATTATAACTTCTGTGTGCAAAGGGAGGGTATGAGAAGTTATCTTTATCAATGTCATGGTTATGAGTCTGGACGTACTTCACATTGACGGAGCCATCGCTCAGCTCCTTGACTAGCATTCTAGCTGGACACACTAGTCCGGTTTTGACTCTCCCCTTCTTCCATTTTCTGGATGCACTTCTCCCAAGCTCTCCTGGAGTACTAGGGTATCTGTCTGGGCCATTGTACTGACAGACATATGAAAGATACACCTTACCCTCAGAAGATGTTACACTATGTCTTGTACTAAAGTAAGAAAAACTCCTCAGTTCTTCATCTTCCTTCCAGAGTTTGAAATCTGCTATTGACTGAAAATGTTTCTCTACTACTGATATTTCTAAGTCTGTATGGTCATTTTCAACATGCTTCATCATGGAAGAAATATGAAAGAATTTCTTCTCACATGCAGGATGAATACATTGCGTTTTCTTGAGCTTTTCATCTTTCCCGCACATCTCTTTATGCCTCTGTAAGCTCTGTATATTCCTATACACTGTATTACAATTTTGACATCTCAGCTCATTCTCCATACTGCTCTCACACACCATTTCCGGATGATCCTTCTTGATATGCTCCGCAAGTCTTGATTTGTGGAAATATTCTCTTGTACATGACGGTGATATGCACTGAGATTTTTTAAGCTTTCCTTTTTACCACATACTTTGGCATGTGTCCTCATACTTCTCAAGTAAAGGTATTCTCTGTCACATCTGGGACACTTAAAACTTAGTTTTGGTTCCTTGTAATCCATCTCTGGATGATCTTCAGCTAAATGCTGAATCAACCTGCACTTGTGGAAGAATTCCTTTTTACAAGAGGGATGTACACAGCGTGTCTTGGAGAGTTTACTGTGTTCACCACATGACTTCTTATGCGTTTGAAAACTTGAAAAATATGTGAATCCTCTATGACAATTGTCACACTCATAATGAGAGGCAGGCTTCAAAACAACTTTAATATCAGGGTGACATTGTTCAACATGTTGATTTAATAAAGCTCTATTGAAGAATTCCTTTTTACAATCTGGGTATATGCACCGTATTTTCTTTTTTCCATCTGCCCTCCCCATTTTTTGAGAGAGTGATAATTTACCACAGGCCCTCTGGTGGATACGTAAAGCTGATACCTGAGAAAACAATTCATGACACCTTGGACATGCAAATTCACTGTCTCTCCTGTCAAATTCAAGAGCTTGTTCGGGCTCCTTTTTTGATATGTGGTTCCTCTCAAAATGTTCAATCATGCGAAATTTATGAAAGAACTCCTTTTCACACAATGGGTCTATGCATTTGGTTTTCCGGAGTTTACTCTCCTTGCCACAGATTTTCTTGTGAGATTCCAGAGTCCGCAAATGGAAGTAAATTCGGTCACACACTTCGCACTGGAAAGTACCCTCCTTCTTCATGCTACTCATTTCCTCTTCAATAACATGGCTCTCTGGATCAACAGTGGAGTCAGCATCCTCCCTTCTACTCTGCAGTGATATATTAAGTCTCCGGATGTCTGGTTTAACATCCCGTAGCTCATGGAATGCCTGCACATCTTCTACCTCTTGTTTGACCCACACTTTCATAACATTTGGCTGTCTGGTAGAAAAATGGACTTGGTTATCAGAGTGTGCTTCCACCACCCTGGGATGATTTTCAGATTCCACCATCATCATCTCCCTGTCTCTCTGGGTATGCTGCTCAGGTAGATCCGTCATCTCAGGGACTTCTATTCTCTCCTGTTTTAACCGCACTGGAATAACCCTAACTTGATGTTTTGAAGGCTTTGTAAGTGTTTTTGTAAGTGTTAATCTTGTACTTTGAGGAGGAGGGTCTTGGTGGTGCTCAATTCCTTCTCTGTGATCTATGACAATACAAGCTCTGCCCTCAAAGCCCCATCGTTCCTCCTCACTCGCTTCAAAGTCTCCATTCTCTATGGTAATGCTGACTTCTGGTTGGTTGTCGAAGTCTCCACCAGTATTACTTTCTTCCATTGTAAAGCTTTCTGTTATTTTTTCAAAATACCTTCATAATATCAGTGAACACTCATGTTTATGTTCATGTTGCACTGCATCTGGAAAAAAGAAAAAGTTCTAAAATACAATGTAATCACATAAACTTTGAAAGGGTCCAGTACATTCTCTTACACAATAAAAAACTAATAAATGATAGTCTTAAAGTCAATTAAAAGGGATAAAATTGTTATCAATACTAGTGAGGGCGAGTATACAGGGGACTGTCCAACCCACAGAAGGCAAGTGTAACTTCCTCCCAGCAATCATTATATAACTCATGGAATGAGGCATCACCTAGCATCTTGTAATATTTGGCAGAACATGATAGGACATTTCCCATTTCCATTCCTTTAATAGAAATTATAGAACACTTGTCTCTATCTTCATGCCAATCCTATTCTGGACATATAATTCATATTTTCTACTTCATAATTATATACAAAACTGTACCACATAGGATGGCACAAAACTTAAAAACTTTGATGAGCTAACATGTGAGAACCAAACTCATGGTTTGACTAAACTTTTAAGTCTATATATCTGTCAACAAAGATATGACAAAATTTTGATCCTATAAAGCCTAGGAAAAGAATCAATTACTCTGC